GCGAGGCTGGAGGAGAGGAGGGCTCAAGATGCAGACAAAAGGGAGAAAGCCACCCAGCTCGCCAGAAAGGTACCAGGATTGGTGCAAAAATTTGGGGGGGAGCCCAAAGACTATCATAGCTTTCGGACAGAAATGCAATATGCCCTCAATCTGCAGTTTGATGATTTCCCTGATGAGGAATCACGAGTGGCTTTTGTGATTGGGCATCTTGAAAAGGGGGCGAGAGACTGGGTTAGACCCCTGATGGCAGCGAATAGTGACGTCTTAAAAGACACGATGAAGTTCTTTCGCGCCATGGATCTGATGTTTTCCAGCGATATTGAAAAGGGAGTGGTGCGCAGACAGTTAATGGCTTGCAAACAGGGGAGCCGATCTGTACGTGAGTACTGGACTGAGTTCACCATGCTGATACACAGATTGGGGTGGGACTTATCGGCGGAACCCATTCAAATGCTCTTTGAAGAAGGGCTTTCTTCGGCTGTGAAAGATGAACTTTCCCGGGCGCCCAGGGCGGAGTCTATGGACCAGCTGACCAAATCAGCGCTGGCCATAGGAGCGCCAGGAGGCGAGAGCATTGGAGAGGCGGGAAGGGAAAGGGGAACGTTGGAAGGAGTTCCGCATTCCAGACATTCCAGAGCCAACTGTCCCGCCGGCAGAGCCGATGGAAATCGGAACAGCGCGCGCGCGCGCAGTTTCAAAGCCCAGTGAGGGGGAAAGAAGGATGGAAAAGGCGCCCGGAAATGCTATCTCTGCCAACAGCCAGGGCACTTTGCCAGAGTCTGCCCTCAGAGGAAGGAATGGCAAGGGATGGTGGGAGCTGTGGAGGGAAGAGAGGAAAAATACCGGAGCAACTAAAAGCCAACGCCTGGCTGCCATTGTCGGGGCACAGCAGCCAGGCCAAAGAGCAGTGAAAGTGCCCACTCCAGAACCTCCTAAACCCGCCCTAGTGATAGAAGTGACACTAGAGCTCCCAAACGGACACCCTCTAAAGATAAAGGCGCTGTTGGACTCAGGCAGCTCCTGCAATTTCATGAGCAAAGAGTTTGCAGCTGAACACCAGATACAGACGCTCCTTTAAGCAACCCCTGCAGGTAACCACGATCGATGGCAGGGAGCTGTTGGGAGGAGAAGTCAGCTTGCAGACCGTCCCAATGATAATGAAGGTGGCAAGGCACACTGAACTGATAGCTTTTAATGTGGCCACCTTGGGAGGAGCTCCCATTATATTGGGGATGAGCTGGCTAGCGTTACATGATCCGCTGGTGGGCTGGCATCAGAGAGTGGTTTCTTTTGGGTCAGCACATTGCTTAGAACATTGCAAAGAGGGAAAGGTTTTGGCAGGGGCCCAAGCCACCCTAGCAGGGACTGAAGTGAAGGAGAACGTGAAGGTACCACGACAATACGCAGATCTCCGCGACGTCTTCAGCGAAAGGGAAGCTGACCAACTACCACCGCATAGAGCCTTTGACTGTCAAATCAATTTGCTCCCTGGGGCACAGCTCCCTGTGGGCAAGCTGTACGCCATGTCAGACAGAGAGATGCAGGAGCTAAGAGAGTTCATTGACAAGAACCTGAAGAGAGGGTTCATCAGAGAGTCCAGGGCGGTGGGGGGGCCGCCCAGTGTTTTTTGTGGACAAAAAAAAACACGAACAAGCCGAGACTGGTGTGTGACTTCAGGGCCTTAAATGCAGTGTCAGAACCAGTGGCCTTCCCGATGCCCAGGATTGACGACATTTTGACAAGGGTGCGAAAGGGAAAGATTTTCACCAAGCTGGATCTAAGGGGGCGTACAACCTGATACGAATAAGGAAGGGGGATGAATGGAAAACCACCATGTTCACCCCTTTAGGGGCATTTGAATACTTAGTTATGCCCTTCGGTCTACAAGCAGGCTCCGCAACATTTCAATCGTTTATGAACCACGTCCTGGGGCCGTTGCTTTACAAGAATTGTGTGGCCTTCTTAGACGACGTGTTGGTGTATTCTGAGAATGAGGAGCAGCATGTGAGAGACGTCAGAGAAGTGTTGAGCAGGCTGCAAGCCAACCAGCTGTGGGTGAAACTGGAGAAGTGTCAGTTTCATACCAAGGAGGTGGAATTCCTGGGGTATCGCCTGTCTGACAAGGGGTTGGCCATGGATCCCGGCAAGGTCCAGGCGGTACTGGAATGGAAAACACCCAAAACAAGGAAGGATGTGCAGAGGTTTTTAGGGTTTGGGAACTTCTATCGTAAGTTCATCCCAAACTTTGCCCACCTGACGGCGCCCATTACGGACTGTCTCAGCAGTAAGAAGAAGTTCGGTTGGACGGAGGAGGCGGAGCAAGCATTTGAGGAACTAAAAAGGGCCTTCGCCTCGGAACAACAGCTCCTGCATGTGGATTTACAAAAACCGATGAGAGTGGAAACTGACGCATCAGACAGAGCGGTTGGGGCGGTGCTTCTCCAGCCAGGGAAGGAGGAGTCAGAGTGGAGACCGTGTGCTTTTTTTCGCGAAAGCTGAACAAATCCGAGAGGAACTACACGGTGTATGACCGAGAACTACTAGCCATTCATGAGGCGTTCCGGAGATGGAGGCACCTGCTAATTGGCGCACAACATAAGGTGCAAGTGTGCACTGACCACAAGAACCTAGAGTATTGGAGGACGGCACGAGTGCTCAACCAACGGCAAGTGAGATGGGCCCAGGAATTCTCCAAATTTAACTTTGAGATTTGTTACGTGCCAGGCCCAGAGAACATTAGGGCGGACGCTCTCTCACGCAAACCTGAATATTGGGAGGGGGAGGGAGCACCCGAAGAGAGACATGTCATTCCAGAGGACCGCTGGGTGTGTGGGGCGGCATTGGTGGGACAAAGAGAACTGGTAGAAGAAACAGAGAATGATGAATACGCCCAGAATAAGCTCAGAGGTCTTAGGGATGAGGGAGAGGAATCAAGGGGTTTCGAGGAAAGAAATGGAGCTTTGTATTACAAAGGGGCACTGTATATCCCTGAAGGAGACTTAAGGGGGAGGGTACTCAAGCAGTTGCATGACAGCCCCACGGCGGGGCATTTTGGGCAACACAAAACCATGTGGTTGGTCACCAGGGAATTTTGGTGGCCTAAGGTGAGGGAGGATGTACGTGAGTATGTAAGAGGGTGCGAGCAGTGCCAGCGAGCCAAAGGGGAAAGGCGGGCGCCGGCGGGGCTATTAGAACCCTTACCAACACCAGAACGACCTTGGGAGGCAGTGTCGATAGATTTTATGACTGATCTGCCGAAGTCCAAAGGGAAAACAGCCATCATGGTGGTGGTAGACCTACTAACAAAGATGTGCCACTTTGTAGCTTGCTCGCATGCAGTCACGGCGGAAGAGACAGCGAAGTTATTTGTAGAACACATTTTTAGGTTGCACGGGGTGCCATTGAGGGTGGTCTCAGACCGAGGAAAACAATTTACTTCCAGGTTCTGGAGGAAGCTCATGAGCTTACTGCAGGTGGAGGTCAACTTTTCGACTGCCCGGCACCCTGAAACCAACGGGCAGGCGGAAAGAGCAAACGGTGTCCTCCAGCAATACCTGAGGTGTTATGTCAATGACAGAGAGAATGACTGGGTAGAAAAGTTGGCGCTGGCGGAATTTGCCTACAACAATGCCGAGAATGTGTCCACAGGGATGAGCCCCTTCTTGGCTAATTATGGGTGTCATCCCAGGGCTTTCCCAGGGGGAGAAGGGGAGAGATGGAGCGTACCGGCAGCCGAGCATTTTGTAGAAGAAATGGAAGCAATCCACCGTCAGCTCCAACTCAACTTAGAAAGGGCGAAGGAAGAATACAAGAGGCAGGCAGACAAGAACCGAAGGGAAGGTGAAACCATAAGGGTTGGAGATAGGGTGTGGCTGTCAACCCGAGGGTTGCCGTTCAAAGGAGGTTGTAAGAAATTACGACCCAGGAGGTTGGGTCCCTTTGAGGTCATTCAACAGGTCAACCCAGTGGCTTTCAGGCTCCGGTTACCCAACCACATGAAACTGCACCCAGTATTTCACAGGTCGTTACTGTCACCGTACGAGGGGGGACGAGAAGGGATGGACACTGGGACCGGTCATAGAAGAAAGAGAATGCAGCAGTCATGTGGCAGAAATCCTTGATGCCAGGTGGAAGGGGAATCAGGTGGAGTATTTGGTAGCGTGGGAAGGAGAACCGGAGTCAGAAAACACGTGGGTAATGGCCAAAGATATCAATGACGAGGTATTGATAGAAATGTTCCATCAAAGGTTCCCGCGGAAACCTCAGCCTGTGGAGAGGTTCCGGAGGGAATACTTTGGGACCACTGAGGAGGAGGAGGAGTTGGAAGGATTCCCAGAATCGGAAGGGGAAGGGGAGATGGACTCGGAGGAGGAGGAGTGCTTCGAGACCAGGAACCGCAACAGGTGGAGAGAAGTGTTCGAGACATCGGAAGATGAAGGAAGTTCATTCCGGGTTTTGCCTCCTCACCGCCCGTAGAGGAGGGGGCGAGAGGGGGTGAAGGGGGCCCTGGAGGGGGAGGTGGATGTCAGGGAACTGCCATCGGAAGGAAGGGAGGTGAAAGGACTCAGACAGGTTGGAAGAGATTCAGCAGCTGAAGAGGGAACCAGCAAGGGGAGAGAAGCTGAACTGAGGGAGGTGAAAGGGCTCAGACAGGTTGGAAGAGACTCAGCAGCGGAAGAGGAAACCAGCAGGGGGAGACAAGCTGAACTGAGGGAAAGGGAGCTGGGGGGATGGCTCAGAGATACTTCCAGCGAAAACAGTGGTGAGGTTTCCGGACCTCCTGTAGCGACACCCACTCCTCGCCGGAAACTGTCACGCAGAGAGTCCAGAAGACGTGTTTCCGTTAAGGAGCTTTTATGTTGGAAGCGATTACGAAAGCAACCACTGTCGGAATCTTCTAGTGACTAAGAGGAGCCATGTCAGAGGGGCTCAGTCACAGACAGAGGTTTGTGGACTTGAACAAACTCTGAGGGAATACGATTTTACGCACAAGCAGCTCATAATCCCATCACA